TCCTGTATTTCCAATATGGCATGATGATAAAGACACTTAACAGCTGTAGTACCTTACAATATATATTGTTTTAATTGTTCTAAATTCAAATCCGAAATCCAAAGGAGATTAGCAGTCTATATCAGTAAGTCATTATCACATATAGAAATAAAAAGTACATTTATACATATACAGCCTATATAATGGTACATTCCAGTTTTCCAGCTCCCTATCAAAAAAGTTAACTACTTAAAGAATACAACAGATCAAGTCCCTTTATTGTTCAAGGAATGTTCTCTCAACTTTGAGAATTCTCTTCAGACCAACAGATGAAACATTAAATAAGTAAATTAAGGTATTCTGATCTCTATAACCTCTCTTCCTTCTCCCCCTCTCACTTCAAGAGACCAACTAGTCCTTTAGTTAGATATAAATTGAAGATGCAAAAAATTTATGATAAAACTCACATGGGAAAGCACAAATCCTATCATTTCTCCTTTATGCACTGCTGTTTCTTACACAAGTAGTCATTTCCATTGTTTCCCCTCTTAATGCCCTCCTCCCTGTGCTGAATTGCTCGAGCACAGCAATTTCAGTTTATTTAACATTATTAAAACCATAAAAACCTTGCTTGGAAATTTAGTTTCAGTTATCCTTCCTCCCCAGATACGGTAAACTGATTCTCTAAAGATCGTAACGGATTATTTACATGTGCAAGCCAACTTCTATAGAAAAATATTTGAGCTTATCGGCACACTTTGTGTGCACACAAGTCAGTGGAAAGTTGATTTACCTCATTTAACTCTATACTAGATCCCTGATATGGTTAATGACATTTTACATGAGCACTTGTTTTCCATGTCTTTCTCCTTCAATGGTCAACTTCAAAATGCCACCTGCCACTTCATATAGCAACAGCAGGGGAAACAAGCTTGTCAGGGCTTTACAATCTGTTTTAGGAAAACAATAGTAGGATAACTGGATAATTGGAATTTCTGGGATTGATGAATCACAGAGATATCACTTATTACCCCCAGCTTTTCTTTCTTTTTTTTTTAAGAGAATAGATTTTTTTTCCTGATTTTAAAAAAGTTACAGTCTGCAAGAAAGGTTATGGAAAGTAACGCATACTGGGCAGTACTTCTTATAATCTTTCTTCAAGTTGTTCTATGACCAAATGTGGTTCATAATTTGTGCTCTGATCTATTGGGGTTTTGTCTTTTTTGTTTGTTTTCATCTTTTTTTTAAATATACAATGTATATGCAATGGAATAACATTTATCCTTTACAGGGAATGTCAACAACATTTCTTTTAGAAAAGCAATCTTTTATGCAGTCATAAGAAACTATCATTAGCAGTTATTTTATAGAAATACGAAATAGTTGTGTTACTTGAAAACTCATTTCTCAACCAAGATTTGGAGATTGTAGGAGAATTTAAGTAGTTTTTCTTTTTCACTCATCTTAAATTTCTTCAAGCATAAGACCAACCCTATTAGCAGTGCCTGAG